CCCTGCCCTCCGCACCCGGTACAACGTTTCGTATCCCCATAAAGAGATCCACCGACGGCACCAATGGCGGTTTTCGCATGCGCTTCCCCCGCCCAGTACACTGTTCCGTGGCCGCATAGGGCGCTCCACCGAAGGGCCAAGTGGCGGTGATCGTATGCGTTCCCCCCGCCCGAAACAGCGCTTCGTGGTTCCATAGGGAGCTCCACCGAAGGCCCCAGTGGCGGTGTTCGCATGCATCTCCCCCACTAAGTACCGTGCTCCGTGGCCCCACGGGGAACTCCACCGAAGGCACCAATGGCGGTGTTCGCATGCGTTTCCCTCACCCAGTACAGCGCTCCGTGGCCCCGTAGGGAGCTCCACCGAAGGCCCCAGTGGCAGTGCTCACATGCGTCTCCCCCAGTCAGTACAGCGTTCCGTGGCCCCATGGGGAGCTCCACCGAAGGCCCCAGTGGCGGTGTTGGAATGCGCCTCCCCCACTCAGTAAAGCGCTTCGTGCCCCACAGGGAGGTCCACCGAAGGCCCCAGTGGCGATCTTCGCATGGCGGCCCCGCTCGATTCCGGCACACGCCTCACACGTTTCGTGGCCCCAGTTGGAGTGCGACCGAAGGCTCCAATGGCTGCGCCCGCATGCGTCCCCGCCCCATTTCGGCACACCTTTTACACTCTTCGTGGCCCCATCAAAAGATCCACCGCAGGCGATACCCACAACGGCGATACTCACAACTGCATCTGGCTGGGCCCTTCGCCAGGATAGTTGTGTTTGTCTCTATCTCTCTCTCTCTCTCTCTTGCTCTCTCTCCCTTTCTCCCACATCTCTCCTGGCTGCGTTGCCCGGAGAGTCGGGATCCTCTTTTCGCTGCCTGGCCCGCCCTTGTTTCCCTCTCACTGTTTGTGCATTTGCTTCCTCCCCGAGCGGCGGGCCCCGGGCCCCGTCCTGGGGTGCGCTCCGACCAGAGCCTCCGTGAAGAATCCAGCCGTGGCGGCGCGAAGCTTCCTGGAGGCCCAGGGAGGGCCAACACGGGCCCCCCTGAGCGGCGAGTGCTGCACGGGGTGCCAGTTGTGGGAGCAGGCGCGGCTCGACCCTCGGAGTCTGACGAGGGCGCCGCCCGCGTGCCGCGCTCCGCCGTGCCCGCGTGCCGGGCCGTGCCCGCGGGGTGCCAGACGAGAAGAGAGGATCCGCGCCTCGCCCTGGCGCTGCCGTGCCCGCGCGCCGCGCCACGCCGTGCCGCGCCTGTCCTGGAAGGGTGGGGGAGGGTGCCGCCGGCGCGCCGCGCCGTGCCGTGCCCAGTTCCCTGGAGTGCGGGGCGGGGGCCGCCCGCGCGCCGTGCCCGCCTGCCGCGCGTGCCGTGGCATGCCGTGCGCGGTGCCTCGGAGCGCAAAGGGCCGCCCGCCGTGCCACGCCACTGGCGTCGCGGGTGCGCCATGCCATGCCCATCTTGCTGGGGAGCGGAGAAGGTGCCGCCCGCGAGTCTCTGGATCGCGGGCCGATCGGCTTTCCCATGTTCTGGGTTGTTGGAGTCCCCAGGAAAGGCGCTGGCCGCGTGCCGTGCCGTGTCGTGCCGTGCGCAGCTCCTGTAGTGCGAAGGAGGTGCCGCTTGCGTGCTGTGCCGCGTCTAGGTTTGGGTCGGGGGAGTCCTTCGTAACATGTCCGAAACGATGCTGGCCAAGACTCTCGCGAACACCTTCCCCTGAGTCTCCGGCCGCAGTGCCAGGGCCACCTCTCAGATCTCCAAAGGAGATCCCCTTGGCGAGATCTCCAAGCCAAATCTCCACCGAGACCTCCGGGAAATCTCCTGGGATCCCCCGACCGAAGTCAAGTTTTTGGATAGCGAGAAAGTTGCCGCCCGCGTGCCGTGCCGTGCCATGCCCACAGGCCCCGGGTTGCGACACGAGTGCCGCCGGGGCGCCGTGCCGTGCCGTTCAAGTGTGTGCCGCACCTGATGCCGTGCGGCGCCTAGCTTCTCGTGTCTGGGTTTGTGGGATGCGAGAAAGGGTGCCGCCCGCGTGCTGCGCCGTGCCGTGCTTGGCCTCGAGAGTGCGGAAAAAAAAGTTGCCGTGCCGTGCCTGCGTGCCGTGCCGTGGTGCCGTGCTCGGCTTCGCCAGTGTGAGGAACCAGCCGTGCCGTGCCCGCGAGCCGCGCCGTGCTTTGTTCGAGCGTGCGGAGCAGGTGCCGTGCCGCGCCGTGCAGCGCCGTTTAATTTCAGAATGCGAGAACGTTGCCGTGCCACACCGTGCCGCAGCGCGCCGTACCATGGCTGGTGCTCAGAAGGCGAAGGCGTTGCCGTGTGATGCAGCGCCGGCCACGTGTCTAATCATGCAGCGTGGCTGTGAGCTTTTATGCCAGTGACGTGAGCATCGCATGTCATTTGCCCCTCCTCCGACCGCTGACCAGTTTTCAGAAAGACCCCATTCTTACCGGTGTCTTATCCCAGGTCGGAGCACGACGTGTCCGAAGCGACCGCCCCAGCAGACATGCCTCAATGTGTGGTTCGAGCTTCGGTTTTCGGCCCATGAAGCTTCACCCCATGTTTCGTCATACCCTTCGTTTGTCCCATGCTCTAGCTGCGGCTAGACCGCCTTGGGCGCTTCATGAGGGCCTGAGCAGGTTCTCTGCCATGTGGTCGAGGGATCCCATGGAAAGAAAGTTATAAAGGAAGCTATTCAGACGAAGGGTTCCACACCCTACGTAGTTGCGTGAAGCGCAGGGCCTGGCCCTCTCCTGATATACCTGCGCGCCGCGCCGCGGGAACTATGGAGTTCGGGCCCCTGTGGGGCACGAGTCGTGTGATTCGTGTACCGGCATGGGCGGAGGCCAGCAGGCCAGCATGCGCGCGCGCCCACACACCGTTGATGGAGCTCCGCGGCCACGAAGCGTGTGAGGGGTGTGCCGACATGGGCGGTGGGGGGGGGCGGCATGCGCCAGCGCCCACCGAGACCATAGGTGGAGCGCCTTGTGGGAGCACGGAGCATGTGAGGGATGTGCCGGCATGGGCGGGGGCGACTTGCGCGTCCGCCCGCTGAGACCGTTGATGGAGCTCCTTGTGTGGGCTCGGGGCGTGTGAGGGCTGCACCAGAATGGGCGGGGGCACCACGAGCCCGCGCCCCGAAGCCTGTGAGTAGTGTGCTGGCATGGGCGCGGGGCGACATGCGATGCCGCCCACTGGGCCGTTGGTGGAGCTTCGTGTAGGGGCACGCAACATGTGAGAGAAGTGCCGAGATGAGTGCGAGGCGACATGCGCGCGCTCGCCCACGGGCTGTCATGGGGGCACGAATCGCGTGAGGGGTGCGCCGAAATGGGCACGAGGCAGCATACGCGCGCGCCCACAGGTTGAGCTCCCTGCGGGGGCACGATGCGCGTGATAGGTGTGCGGCAATTGTCGCAGCGCGGCATACGCGCGCGCCCGCTGGAGCAGCAGGTGCAGCTTCGGATGGGAACAGGAAGCCTAGGGTGAGAGGCGTGCCGACAGAGGCGCGGGGCGGCGTGCGCGCGCGCGCCCACGGGGGTAAGGCGGAGCCCCCCCGGGGGGGGACGATGCGGGCAAGAGGTGTGCCGAACGTGTCGCGGGGCGGCATGCGCCAACGCCCACCGGGCCGCAGGTGGACCTCCGAATGGGGGACGCGAAGCCCGTAAGAGGCGTGTCGACGTGGGCGCGGGACGGCATGCGCGCGCTCCAACGGGGGCCGTAGACGCCCAAAACGTGTGAGAGGGGCGTGCCGGAACTGGTGCGGGGCAACAGGCACGCGCGCACGGACTCGAGGGCCGCAGGCGGAGCTCCCTTTGTGGCGGCGCGGAGCTTGTGAGGCCTGTGGTGACCTGGGCGCGGGACAGCACACGCGCCCGCGCCCAAGGAAACGCGGCTGGAGCGTGCCAGAGTGTGCTCGGGGCGGCATGCGCGCGGGCCCACTTGGAGCTCCAAACCTGCCTGGGATGGGCCGAAAGGGGCGCGGGGCGGCATACGCGCGCGCCCACTGTGGGGAGGCGCGCGGCGATGCGGACTCCGAAGCGACGACCCAGCAGCACAGGAGGGCCAGGAAGATGTGCTGCGCCCTCCGCCCGCCGCCGTCGCGCCGAGGTGGCCTCCTGCCGGCTGCCCTCTGGCAGCTGGCCCTCCCTGGCCCGCAGCGGCCGCAGTGAACCAGCCTCGAACGTATCCCTATCCCTAATGGAGGATGACGATTAATAAATGACCGGGGGTCGTGTTCACGCGGCGGCGCCCGGGATGACGATTAGAAAAAACCGGCCGCGGGCTGGAAAACATTTTTTTTGCAATCGTTCTCCTCCAGTCAGAAACTTGTGCAGAAATAGCAGGAAACTATTTTTTTAATCGTTCCCCCCCATTTGTTTTATTAATCGTCATCCCGCATTAAGGTGGGCGAGCAAAAAAGCGAAGACAATCTTAGGGATAGGCCCTCAGAAACTGAGGGAATCCTTAAGATCGGCATCGAGGTGAGGTGATGTCAAACATAGGGATAGGGATATGTTTCAAACTGGTAAGCAGTCCCCAGCCACGGGCCCCTCTTCTGGCCCAGGCGCCCCGCGGCCGTCCCCGCGCAGCCCATGGCACCGCCGTCGCCGTCGCCTCCCCGCTCGCCTCCCGGGCGCGCGGCGCGCGCCGTGCCCGCGGGTGCCCCGGCGGCCGCGGCGGAGCCCTGCGTTCCGGGCGCCGGCGGTGCCGCGGGGGAGGCGAGGCTGGGCCGCCAGAACGTCGTCGAGGCATCGTGCGGGCAATGTCTATATCCACATCCAGTGCGTCTTGGAGTTTCGGACTCCCTTCCCAAGAAACATGAGGCGCACTGGATATGGGATATGGATTATAATCTGCCTCCAAAAAGGCTGGATGTTTATCCATATCCAGTGCGCCTCGGCCTTGCGGCGCCCCTTCCAAGAAAGTCCAAGACGCACTGGATATGGATATAAATATTGCCCGCGCATCGAGGAGTCGAGGAGCCTCCCTCCTCCCCCCTCCTCTCACCTCCCTCCCTCCCTCCCTCCCTGGCCGATGTTGGACGTCCGGGACGTCTGGCGCGGGGCTCCCTGTGAGCCTCCACGCAAGGGGGCGCCCTCGAGGCCGCGGCTGGATCGCGGCGCCGCAGGGGCCGAGGCAGGCCTTGGCAGGCAGGTCTGTCCCGCCCACGGGCCCCGGGTCCCGGCGCTTTCTGGGCAATAATGATATCGGGGGTGGGCAGACCTCCTGCCCTGACACGTCGTCGATTCAGGAATCTGCCGTTTTCGGTTCGCGAGAGGGCGTCGCGGCCGTCGGTTCGGGTCCGTCGGTTTCGGTCCCAGGCCGTTTTCACTAAAGGGGGGTTTACTAAAGGGAGGTTTGCCCACTGCCGAAATTGGGGGAACAACAAGTGGCATAAACATGAAAACTCGGAGGTCCGCGCGGATTTCTCGGATCGGTGCTGGGGCTCCCTGGCGGCGCCTCCGGCGCCGCCCCTGGCGCGCGGATCGCGGATCCGAGAAATCCGCGCGGACTTCTGAGTTTTTATGTTTATGCCATGTTTCGTCCCCCTAAGCTACCCATGCAGATGCGAGCGCCGCGAGGCAAGGCGAGAAGAAGGATGGGGCCGAACCAAGGGTCACCAGGGGGACGGACTGGGGCGCATGTCCTGGCGATGGCGGCGCCGAACGAACCTTGCCATTGGGGCCTTGGGTAGAGCTCCCTAGAGGGGCCACGACCCTCGTGAGAGATGTGCCGGAATGGGCGGAGGGACGCGTGTGGACCCTGGCACTGGGGCCTTCGGTGGAGTTCCATATTCGGCCACTGAGACCTTCAGTGGGGCTTCCTGTGGATCCTCGTGAGGAGTGTGCCGAAATGGGCGGGGGGGCCCATGCGGAGGGCAGGTGCAGGGATGAGAGGAAGGAGGAGGGACCGGGAGGAGGAGGAGGAAGAGGAGGAGGAGGGAGGAGGACGAGGAGGAAAAGGAAAGAGGAGGACGCGGGGCGGTGTCTCTTCAAAACGAGGACCCAACACCACAGGACGGTTTGGAAAAATCCAAGCGGAGGTTACTCATTGTTCTCGGCCTCTGTGGCCGGGGAAGAGGTCGGGACCTCTAAACATTTCGTGTTGGAAAGACAAAACGTCGGGAGTTTGGGATGGCGATCCTGGCCCCGAGCTGCCCTCTGTGCTGTTCCTCCAATAATGGAGTCCCTGCGGGCCTCCTCTGCGAATGCTCTGGGGGCCATCTGGGCCCCTCTGGAAAAGCGAGGGCCACCTCGAGCCAGGGCTAACTACCCGAACATCCTGGGGCATGTCTCCTCGTCCCCAGAATTCCCGACCCCTTCCTCGGATTTTGGAGTCGTCCCAGACCTATTTGGGATGGTCCCGCGGGGCTCGATAACGGGCTTTGGAGGCCGAAACTCGCGAACAAAATTTGCGATTGAGCAAATCCACATCGTCGCAAGTCTGGGTGCGCAGTCCAGCACGACCCGATTGGGATGGGCCTACGACGAGGATATATCCGTTCCATAGCGTTGCGGAACGCTCTCGGAGCGTTCTTGAACGCTCCGAGAAGGCCGCGGCGCCCGAGACATCTCAGAGATTCTCGATTTATCTTTTTCCAATGTTACTATCGTCCTGGCTTCGTCTTACTCGGAGGTCTGGGTGTGTGGCAGTCCGGCACGACCCGAGAGGCGAAGAGAGTGCGCGCGGCGCTGGGCGCAAGGTCGGGTGCTGCTAGAAGTCCCCGGTCAAAGGTGCCCCCAGCTTTTCGCTCCATCTTGGAGCCCCTGGGGCCCTCTGGGCTCATGAGGGGTGCTCTGGAGGCCGTCTGGGCCACCCCGAGAATCCTGCGGGCTCTTTGGGCCAGGGTTAGGTCGGGCATGTCCTTCTACAGGCGGATTTTGAAAGACAAATGTAGTCCAAAACTACTCCGGGTTTCTTGATAAGCGTGGGGGGATACCCCCCCGACGGGGGTCAACCTCGCCTCGTCGTCGCGCCGCGACGGGGGTCGGAGCGCCTTCGGCGCGCGGTGGCTTCCCCTCGACGGGGATCGATGTGGGGCTGTCGGCGGGGGTAACGCCCCCCCCCGACGCTTCTTAAGAAACTCGGAGCTATCAACAGATGGCCACCAAAGAGCACGAGCAATCGCCTCCTGGCTATCCTCTTGCGGTTGCTGACCTTTCCCCCTGTCGAGGGACGTGCCCGACCCGAGGCCAGGGGGACCCTTCGAGCCGCACCCGGCGAAGGGGCCCTTACGGCCTGGCCTGGCTGCTGGAGCGCGTCGCCGACTTCGGGGACGACGAGCCCGAGTGGCGCAGGGCCGCCCGCCGTGCCCAGGAGCGCCGGCGCGGCTCGGTCTGCCCCCCGCCGCTGCAGCTGCTGGTGGCCTCGGGGGCAACGCTCTCCCAGAGATCCGACTGTTTTGTTGACGTCTCGCACGCATAGTTTCGAAGTCGAGGCCCCTCCTTCTGCCCACCCCTCTTTGTTAATTCAAGCTGTGCGCGGCCCGCTTATTTTTCGACCAGAAGAGGTGCGCTCTCGACCCGCGAATCAAAAACTGTTTTGTTGACGTCCACGACGTCGCCGCCCGACCTGGACAGTATACAGGGCATCCAACCTGCAGCGGAGGGTGAGGCAGGCTGCACCGAGTGGCGGAGGCAGACGGGAAGCACTGACTCTGCACACTCCTGCTAGACACAGCCAACAGGACAGCACGCAGAAGACAGAGCAGCAAAGAAAACGCGGCACAGTCAGTCGGAGTCACCCTCTCCATGGCGCTATCCCAAAGATCCGACGCCCCGAAGATAAATCGAAGAAGAGAAGCTTATAAGCACAAGCTCTTCGCGCTCCGCGCGGATCTCCGCGCAGGTCCAAGAAATCCGCGCGGAGCGCCAGAAGTGGTCTCAGGGGCAGCGATCCTAGCGATCCGACGCCCCGAAAAGATTGGCCCGGTGGCTCAGATTCCTCCTCTGAGGCGAGGGGAGCTCAGGGGCCCTCCCCTCCGGGGAGAGTATGGGGGCGGCGGGCCTCCCGGCGGCGGCGGCGGGCCCACCCGCCAGCTCCGCAGCCACGGCGCGGGGAGCCGGCGCCGCGCACGGTGGCCGCGCCGCCGCCGCGCACGCTCTGCGCGGCCAGCGGCCGCGGGAAACTGCGGGGTCCTCGGGCCCAGAGATCCGACGCCCCGAGAAAATTGGAGCGGCGGGATTTGGGCCATTTTCGGCCTCCGGGGGCCCTCGCTGGGCCTCGGGACCGTCAACAAAAGGACTCGGGGCGGAGAACCGGCCCCACATAGAGACGTGGTCCAGACTTCCGGGGCCCCACGCCTCGAAAAAATTGTAGCGTCCGGATGTCTGGTTTAGGGGGGGACGCGCTCTTAGCTGATGCTGCAAACGCTGGAGGCGTGTTTTCTTTGTTTTCAGATCTTCAGTGTTCGGCCAACCAGACGGGGAAAAGACGCCAGCCCCAAACATTAATTATCCCAGTGCGACCCGACCTAGGAGTTGGAGCCTCTAGGAAAGCAACATTGGTAGGAGCGGTAAACGCCGTCCTCCTCCTTCCCCTCATCGTCGTAGTTGTAGCAGTAGCGGTAGTAGTAGTAGTAGTAGTAGTAGTAGTAGTAGTAGTAGTAGTAGTAGTAGTAGTAGTAGTAGTAGTAGTAGTAGTAGTAGTAGTAGTAGTAGTAGTAGTAGTAGTAGTAGTAGTAGTATAGTAGTAGTAGTAGTAGTAGTAGCAGTAGTAGTAGTAGTAATGGTAGTAGTAGTAGTAGTAGTAGTTAGTAGTCGTAGTAGTAGTAGTAGTAGTCGTAGTCGTAGTAGTAGTAGTAGTAGTAGTGATAATAGTAGTAGTCGGAGTAGTAGTAGTAGAGTAGTAGTCGTAGTAGTAGTAGTAGTAGTAAGTAGTAGTAGTAGTAGTAGTAGTAGTATAGTAGTAGTAGTAGTAGTAGTAGTAGTAGTAGTGGTAGTAGTAGTAGTAGTAGTAGTAGTAGTAGTAGTAATAGTAGTAGTAGTAGTAGTAGTAGTAGTAGTAGTAGTAGTAGTAGTAGTAGTAGTAGTAGTAGTAGTAGTAGTAGTAGTAGTAGTAGTAGTAGTAGTAGTAGTAGTAGTAGTAGTGGTAGTGGTAGTAGTAGTAGTATAGTAGTAGTAGTAGTAGTAGTAGTAGTAGTAGTAGTAGTAGTAGTAGTAGTAGTCGTAGTAGTAGTGGTAATTAGTAGTAGCGCCAGAACCGCCGACGCCACGTCGGGTTTCATGTCTCCCGGCCGGTGCTATGTGCGAAACCTTCGTGAATCCTAAGGGCTCAAGCTGCCCCACTAAGGGCTCAAGATGGCCCACAGACGGACAACATGCGTGGAACATACGTGCGCACACACACACACATACACACATAAGTACATATATACACACACACACACACACATATATATATATATATATATACATATATCCCTGGGGGCGAGGCCAGGGGCCCCAGGACAGGTGCCTCCACCCCCCATGGCGGGACCGGGGCTCATTTTCCCTCTGTTTTTACAGGGTTTCCGCGTTCTGGGCCTCTGAGGCCGCCGCCTCCGACCCCCCATGGGAGGACGGGGCGGCCGGGGAGGTCCAACATAGTTCAGGAGGGCCTCCAGAGGCTCCCAAGACGGACCGCTCCCACATAAAGGAAAAGGCCTCCAAGAGGGCCCCAAGACGGCCCGCGAGGGCCCCAAGACGGTGCTTGAGGCGCCCAAGACGGCCCGAGAGGGCCCCAAGAGCCCCAAGAGAGGCCCAAGAAGGGGAACGCGACCCAACAGCAGAGCGGTCACCCCACAAGGCCCACAGGAGGCTGCAAGAGGCCCCCAAGTGGTCCGATGAGGACCCCAGAAACTCCCCGAGGGCCTAAAAGGCCCCTAGGAGACGTCTAAGAGGCTTGAAAATAGCCCAAGAGTGCCCTCGATGCGTCAAAACTGCTTCCAGTAGGCCCCTGGGAGGCTTCCGGATTGCCTCAATCTGGCCGCAGGTGGCCTCAAGTCGGGCCTCCACGCAGCTAAGACAGCCAATGACGGCTTCAGATTGCAGAACCGATGCCCCCAAGGGACTCTCAGACGCCCCCCCAAGAAGCACCCAAGAGGTGCCTCCAACAGCCAGTTGACGAAGCATGCGGAACACCCCCGAAGCTCCTCAGATGCCGTCGCGCACCTGTGCTTGATAGCGTTGTCCAAGATCGTCCAGCGCCCCCCCAGGGGCCCGAAAACAGCTGCCCGCCCCTCCATGGGAGTACCGGGGCTCATTTTCGCTGTGTTTTTGCGGGGTTTCGGCGTCCCGGGCCTCGGAGGCCGCCGCGATGGTCCCGGACATTTTCCAGATCCTCGGCGCGGGCTCCAAGACCATTCCGCAGAGGGCTCCAACAGGCTCCAGGGCAGCCCAAGAGGGCTCCAAGACGGCTCCAGGAACGACTGCAGGGTCTCATTTTCTTGTGTTTTCTGCAAGACGGCTCCAGGAAGACTGCATGTCTTATGAGGATGGCTTCCGCCTCTTGCCCCGAGCATCCCAAACTGCCTGAACGGTTCCCACTCGCCATCCCAAAACCCAGCGCTTGCCCAAGCGCGTTCTGGACGGTCGTCGCCGGAACGCGCTGGAATGATCACTTGCTGCGGTTTCCCATGCCAACGTCCTCGGACGTGGGCGCCCTGCCACGAGCGCGTTCCGGGAAGATGCTCCCGGAACGCGCTGAAAAGATATGGCCACATCACGGGGAAGCTCCCGGCACCGCTGCCCCAGCCTTTCCGGGCAGCGTCCACAGCGCTCCAGGAGGGCCCAAGACGCCCTCCAGGAGCCCCCAGAATGCGAAAGGATGGCCCATGACGCTTCCGACGGCTCTCGAGGCTCCCAGGTACCTCCAAGAGACCCGAAGAAGTCTGATTGGTATCACGGTACGGCCCGAAGAGGCCAAAATCGTATATGTTCAATGGTCTTTTCAATGTTTTTGGCTTCTCGCGTTTTCGAGCTTCCAACGGTCCAAGAGCGCCGACGAGCCTCCATGGGGGTACCGGGGCTCATTTTCCATCTGATTTTTCAAGGGTTTCCTTGTCCTGGGCCTCGGAGGCCGCCGCCTCCGACCCTCCATGGGAGGACGGGGCGGCCAGGGAGGTCCAAAATAGTCCAGGAGGGCCTCCAGAGGCTCCCAAGACGGCCCAAGCGGGCCCCGAGTCGCCGAAAGACCGCTCCAGGACGCCCAAGATAAGCCCAAGACGGCCCGCGAGGCCCCCCAAGGCACTCCACGACGCTTCAAGACGCCTCTCCAGAGCGCTTCAAGAGGCCGAAATCGTCAATTTTACGAAACATTTCGAACGATGTTGTCCTTCCAGCCTCTCCGGCTGTCCGACGATCCAAGACGGCTCCATAGGCCCCCAAGAGCGCCCCAAGACGGCCCAAGAGGGCCCCAAGACGGCCCCAGAGTCGCCCAAGACAGCCCAACAGAGCCCCAAGACGGCCCCAAGATGCGCCCAAGAGGGGGACCACGACTCCAAAATTCGACCCTCCCGCTTGAAGAGTGCCCCAGGAGGCCCCAAGGAGCCCCCAAGAGGCCCCAGGAGGCCCCCAAGAGGCACCCAGGAGGCCCAAACGAGGCCTAAAGAGGCCACAAAACAGCCCCGAGGAGGCCCCACAACGGTCCCAAAACGGCTACCGAGAAGCTGCGAAACTGCCTTCACGACGTCCCCGACAGGCCAACCACGAGATCCAAACCAACACCCATGAGGCCTCTGACCCACCACCCAGGGCACGGTGGCGGGAGCAGTGACAGCACTTGTGCACAGCATGTTCCGGCGGGAGCCTTCCGGAACACGCTGCAGGAGGAGGAGGAAGATCAGGAGGAGAGAGAGCTGGAGTGAGGAGGAGGAGGAGGGGGACGAGGAGGAGGAAGAGGCCTCCCAGACAGCTCCAAGATAGCCGAAGAGGCTTCCAAGAGGGCCCTGGGCGGCCCACGAGGGCCCCAAGGCGGTGCCTGAGGCGCCCAAGACGGCCCGAGAGGGCCCCAAGACGGCCCCAAGAGAGGCCCAAGAAGGGAAACACGAACCGAGAATCCGAGCTTTCTACCCCGAGAGGCTCTCGGGAAGTCCCAAGAGGCCCCCAATCGGATCCAAGAGGCCCCCAAGAAGCTCCCAAGAGGGCCGACGAGGTTCCAAGAGATCTCCCAAGGTGGCCCCAAGAGGCACAACTCATTGTTTTTCGATTGGGCTTTGATGGGTTTAATTTTTGTTCGGCCGTTTGGCATCCCGATGCTCCAAGACAGCCCAAGAGGCTTCCAGTACCGCTCCCACATAGAGGAAAAGGCCTCCAAGAGGGCCCCAAGACGGCCCGCGAGGGCCCCAAGACGGTGCTTGAGGCGCCCAAGACGGCCCGAGAGGGCCCCAAGAGCCCCAAGAGAGGCCCAAGAAGGGGAACGCGACCCAACAGCAGAGCGGTCACCCCACAAGGCCCACAGGAGGCTGCAAGAGGCCCCCAAGTGGTCCGACGAGGACCCCAAAAGCTTCCCGAGGGCCTAAAAGAGGCCCCTAGGAGACGTCCAAGAGGCTTTAAA